GGAATGACAAATTTTCCAGCTTTTTTTTTTTTTAATAATTTTATTTTAAGCAATCAGATACTTTGTATGCTCCCAGATGTGTGTTATGAAGGTCCACCCTTTAACAGAAGTTAAGAATATAGATCAAAAGATAAAGTGCATAGACAAATATCAATCTTCCCACAAAGTTTGGATTGTAAGTAATGTAGTTTACTTGGCCCTTGTTTTGTGAGAATACTAATTATGTGGGGAAATATTCCTTACATTTCTTTTCTGTATTGCAAGAACAGAATCATAGAATTACCGAATATGCTGAGTTGGAGGGGACCCACACGAATCTTTGAGTCCAACCCTTAGCCCTGCACAGGACCATCCCCAACAGTCACACCATGTGCCTGAGAGTATTGTGTTGTGGCTGAGGATTGTAATGAGAGGGAATGCAAACTGGAACTGCTGTTTCTAATTTCACAAGCTAAGGAGTAGTAAATAATGCACAAATATCTGTAAAGCTCCATAGATGTTTTCTTGGCTTGATGTGCATTTTTCTGTGAACTAAAGCTTCTAGTTTGGAACTGCTGACAAGTTGATTACAAATGACTTGGCTGTTTCCTAAATACTTCAGTCTTTGTTCAAGTAGTTTATTTCACTCCAGTAATAATCTAGTCCACACTCTTTAATTAATTCATCTATTTATGGTTTAACTTTTGTTTTGTAAGTCTGATAACTTAATGTGAGAACAGTATTGCAAAATTTCAGTAATTTGTTCCTGTGAATTGTGAATATCACAGATCAATTTTTTTAGGTCATACATTTTACTTCATTAGTTTTCAAGTATGTTTTCTCCTACTAAAGTTTGCAAAAGGCATTTTTTATGGCATAACATACTAGGAAAGGCAGCATTTTCCTTTTCTATATTATTTTTAAAAGTTCACCAGGTTATATTTTAATGATTTAATAGTCAATATTTGTTGGATTTTTTCTCTCCTTGTTTCAGCAGAGGTGTTTGGACACAGATATGTTAATAAGTTGTGAGTTTCCAAACAGATTTTATTATTTTTATGGATTATATAGGGGTGACGGGTAGGAAGGAGAATCCTGCTTAAATACTTTGAGTTATCTTTGTTAATGATTTGTGTTTTTATTTATTTTTTTTTTATTTAAAGCAAACTTTTGGATCAAGTAATCCACATATATGCTTTTAACCCACCTGAGTGCTCTTCTCTGACACTTTGTTGCTTTGTAATTTCCATTTCACTGAATAGCATAGCATGATTCTTGATTCAGTAGAAAGGGAAAGTTTTATTTAAATGAAAATATTTGCACTCATTCATTTCCTTTTCACGTTTGTTTTCGTAATTCAATTGGAAGCTGAAAGTTTACCTGTTCTCTTTAGTAAAATGTGCGTCTTAAATCCAGGCAGATTAGACTGGACAATGTTGTTCTTCTTTGCTGTTGTCTTGCTCTCTTCCTGAATGAAGATGCTTAGAGAAGGTTTAATGTACCAGCCTGGTATTTTTCAGTCTTGTTAAATCTTAATCTTCAGTTTCAATTAGATAGTTGAGATATTAGACGTTAAACTTGAGGCTGAAATTTCTCATATTCATTTTCATTTTGAAAGCACTTAAATTTCTGGTGGCGTAAATGCAATATTTAAAGTTTAATAGAAATCTAGTTTGATATGGCCAAAATTATAAAACCTAAGCAATTGTTTATTTCCTACTTAGCTATAAATAATATTTCTTTCTATTTATTTTTTAAAAACCCTCCAACAAACAGCAGAACAAACCCCTTTAAAAAGTTTCATTTTCCTGCAAAGAAAGGTAACTAGTGTAGGAATTCTAAAGCATTGGGAGATTTTTCAGTTTATAAATGATTTATGATAGAGGTGATGAAATGGATTTAATTTTTAATATGCCCATTTATATTGAGTATGATCTATAGAAAATTAAGCAATTAAATAAAGTTTAAATGGATTGACTGTTTTGTAGGTGAAATGTGAATGTTACATTTGTTCCCATGCTATGATGGAGTATTATTTCTAAAAGACCTGGGTCTGTTTTGGTCTCTTTTTTTGTTCACAGGGAATTAAGCAGCAGGCAGAAAGTAAATATTACAAAGCTCTTTCATTCACAGCTTGCTTTTCTCTTTTGCTAAATAGAGTCTTCTATAGGTGAAAATTTGAATTTTTAATTAAAGATTAAATTGCTGTGTGTATATATAATTATATATTTTCATTTCCCCCCATGTACAGATGGAAAATAGTTGACTGATGAACTTTAGTTGGAGTCATAGGTATGTTTTTAACAAGGATGTGGCTTCACTTTGTTTCTATTTCTGATGTGCCCATAGTTGAACTGATATTGTTACAGTTTTGCAGGAAAAATTTTGTTTGAGATGTGGCAGTTAATAATTGAAATTCATTGTTTTTCCTATGGTTAGTTGCACTACTTAAGACAAAGCAGGAGTGAAGTATCTCTTGTAGCCTCTTTTCCATGTATATGCACCATCCTCTTTTACCCTCCCTCATGTACCAAAAACCAAGAGGATGTGGTTGCTGCAGATATTAGCTGTTCATAACTTCTAGGGCTTATGAGTATGATCTCTACTCATAAGCATTTTTTCTGCAATATGTTCTGTATAGCTGCATCTCCAGTCAGAACTAGGTCATTCATCTAACTAATTCTGTATTTAAATGGATGGGAAGATTTATACTAAGCTTTTATAGTTTGGATAAGTAAAAAGACCTGTTTTTCATGTCTATGTTAGTGATAAATTGTGAGATTATCATGTTTTATGTTTGCTATTTTCTGCTACTATCACTTCTTCTAGTGCATCACATAAGGTTAATCATTCACAGTTTTAGAATTTTAGACAAAAGTCTAAATGGAATACATTTAAAATGAAATAATGCTGATTAATTATTGATTGATATTAAAAGCTTGACACATTATTTTGCAAAACGTAAATTAAAGTATTGCCTTACAAATTATATTAACTCAGATAAATATTAGAGCTTGCGGTATGAAATGAAATGAAGAAGAGAAAATATTACATTTAACAGTGGTAACAGTGTATTTTCAGTCTAACAGATGAAAAAATGAGCTGAATCATTCTTCTCTGCATCCTTTCCTTTACTGAGCTTCAGAATGTTTGGGAGTAAATAACTATATAGCAGGAAAATTTTATCAGTAGTCCAAATGGTCTTTTGATGTAAAGCTCTGTTATGGGAGATCAGAGTGAAAACAAAAGTACCTAGAGATTATACGGAACGTACAATTATGTCAAGTTGAATGACCATGTGTTGCAGAAGCAATATCAGGATATGTTTTCACAAATTAATTTAAAAACCATATAGAAATCTCTGTTTTTCTTATAAGCATTAATGCTTACAGGCTGGCTAGTCACCTTAATTGGTGCTTCCAAAACGGTTTTTTTGCATGTAAAAAGGAAGAGTAGCAGTAATGGGGAAATAAATGCAGAATTCTGAACATATGATAGCAAAGAGTGTAAAAGTTCAGTGACTTTGAGAATAGTTTTAGCAGCTTTACTTCAAAGTGATGAAACATTTTTGTGACTTTTGTTAATTTATTGATAAATAATGTTTGAATTATTTCTCATCTTATTAAGTACTAGGCTAACTGAAGTGACTAACAGAAATGTTTTCTTTTCTCATGGAAATACTGCATTTATTTTTTTCCTTTGGCTTTACAGAATATGTTGTGCACAGTTGGATGACATGATTTTTATGAATACTAAAATGATTTAATATGTTTTTCCCAGTAATGATTAGTTTATTCTGCTCAGAGGAAATTCTGTTCCATCCTTACGATAGGATGGTTCTGCAGCAAACCACAATAGCTTGAAAGCAATGCACTTTCTGAGGAAAAAACACACATCACAATTATCAACCTATTTAGCAATGTTAGATTAAAACTACACTGAAATTTTGCATTGGGCAAGATTGATGCAAATTCTTATAAAAAAAGGGCTTGACTAGAGTATCAGCATTAACTGCTACTTGAGCTGATATTTATGGTTAGTATATCTGGAGGAAAGAATATTTTGACATATATTTGTGTTTGGTGGAAAGAGCATGTATAACCTTTCCATTGTTTTTTCTCATTAAAAAATGCATGTGTGAAAGTAGAACTTTTTATGAAACAACTTTGATGTATTTATAAGCATAATGTGGTTTGGTTTTTTTTTCCCATGTGCACAAACACATACACTATAACTACAATGCCAGTTAAACTAGCTTTCTAAATTCTTAGTAGCATGGCTGTGTTTTCAATAAAATGTTAGTTCCAATTCCTTTTTTAAGTAGTTTTTGTACTACTCAACAAAACTGCAAAGGAAACATGTGGAGCCTTAAATATTTTTTTACCTGAAGTCCTTTATAGATGGGCTATAAAAGCACACTGTGTAACATAATAAATTGTATGGAAAGGAACCACATGTTTTCCTGGTAGAAAAAATGCATTTTAGTGATCTGTGTAGTATGTTTATATTCATATGGCATATTTTTAATCCTGGTTACTTACTTAACCATTCTTTCAATTCCTGCATCATATGTCAAATTTTCATACTTCGGTGAGGGCTACAGCTTCTCTGGGAAAATTTCTTACTGTTTAGGGTCAATAGGCTTAAAAAAATGCTAAAACTAGGAAGATGCCCCAGATCCACATTTCACTCTGTGGATTTTTATTTAGAGGTGATATAAAATAAAATGATCCCTTGCCTTTGCTACAGTAATTTCTAAAGCATGGAGACATAGTTTTTTTAAATTTCCTTTTCCCACCTGAATGCATGTAAATCACCTCTATGAAATGTGAGTCTCACAATAAGAGATCCAGAGATCCAGAAAACTGAGGGAAAAAAAATTAACCAACCTCCCCTCCTGTTCCATAAAAATAGTTTCTTTGTGAGGTTTGTCTCCCTGAGGAACTTCCTGATACTTGGATACTCTGTCATGTGTAATTGGATTGTAGCTGTTTCTGAATACTGTTCTCTCCTCTTGACAGCATGGGGTAACCTTGGAAATGTTCTCAAGAGCCAGAGCAAGATTTCTGAAGCTGAAAGCGCCTACAGAAATGCCTTGTACTACCGCAGCAACATGGCTGATATGCTCTATAATTTGTGAGTATGTGTGGCTTTCCTGAAGTTGAATTGTCTTTGAAACCTGTTGTGAACAGAGCTATTGATTTAGTTCCTGGAAAGGGAGACGATGTTATTTGTTGCTTTCTAGCAGTCGTTTCATTAATTGTGCTCCTTAAACTATGGGGTGGACAAGGTTTTTCTTAGTCAACATTATCGTAGTATTCATGTAATGGGTATGGAGAAGGTAAACTTACAGTCTGCTTTAAAAGAATTAAAAAAAAATCCCACACTAAACAAAGTACCAATAGATGAGTTGTCAGCTGTGACCTTCCATCTGTTTCTAACTCCACTAAATTGTAGAGGTGTTATTTAGACTTCTCTTTTAAGTCTGAATAACACTTGGTGGGAGGAGCGTATGTAAGCACTTCCAAGCAAAGCCCAATACTCCTCTGTTAGCTCCAGAGGTCTGAAATGTTAAAACAGCAAATTACTTTTCTCCTGTGACTGACTTCAGAGCAGCATAGGTTAAACAAAGTTTAATTACTAGAACCCTGTTGTAAGTGTGTAAGAGGATAAATAACATGAGCATCAAAATAATTATACAGCAGGGAGAAAGATTTCCTAACTCATTAATGTGCCAGATCATGAACATGGAAGCAAGCGTCATGCTAAGCTTCTCACTGAGGTGAGATCATGCTGTGTGCCCCAACAAGGAGGGGACTGATTCTCTGGCTGAATATCCCACCTGCTTCCTGCTCAGCTCTGCTTGTCGTTCTGGTGCTCGCCCTCCCTTCCCCTCCTGCCATGACCCAGCCAGCCCAAGCCCCCAGAGTGGGGCTCTGCTGCAAGGCTCATCACCTCCACTAGCCATGTGCTCTTGGTTCATGATGGTGTGCAGGACAAAATCCAGGTAGCTGCCATTCCATAGATAGTAGTATGAAAACAATGTCCTGAGTACGGTACAAAAATGTGAATGTTAGATAATCAAAATGTGCAAAACTAAATTCAAATAGTAAGGCTCTTCAAATAAATAAACAAGAAAATAATGTTCTGCCTGTAAGTCCAGTTTAAAATGGCCACTTATCTAAAAATGAAGTTCACATAGTTTTCTTATCTCTGTTAGGCAGTGAAGAGTATGCAAAGCATATTTTTAAGAAGAAACTCTTTTTGATGACGTTTATAAAATAACTTCTGAACACAGCAGTAGATTGGAGGAAGTAAAGTGACAAGATTGATACTTGTACATTTCTCATATGCCATTCATTTTGGTGATGAAAATTATAACTATTAAAGTCTTTTGAATACCTATACAGTACTTTTGTCTCTAACTCACTGTGTCATAGAGGGAAACTGAAGTTAATACCAGGGTAAGAAGAGGAAAGGGGGTTGGACAGTAAAGACAGGGATATAAAAAAATCACATTTCAGTTGTTTTGCCATTCTCAGAATAAGCTCCTAGTTTTCCAGGTTTTCATTGATATACAAAATATATGCTTATAAACCTTCATCTCTATTGAACAGAAAATTTTTTGAAATTCTACTGAATTTGTGTGGAAGGAATTTAACTAAAATGCTGGTTGGAATATATAGGGCATAAAGTCACCTTAAATATACCTTTGAAAGTAAAGGAAGTTTAATTCTTAACCTTTCTACTACTATATTGAATGCCATAGAATCCTTTATTTTTTACAAAAGCTTCACAAAACCATTAGTTATTTAACAGTAGTTGAAAAATCTTGCATAATTTTTTTGGTTTTGTAGTCTTTCTCACTGTTGGGTGCTTCAAGATCCACCAGGAAAACTAGGTGGTAAATGGAGTGTTCTTTGATATTACAAGACCACAGATGAGTCAATTCTTTTAAGCACAAATGCTCAAGAGCTCCTTTGCAATTGAAGTCCATCCTTGGCATGTAGTTCTGTGAGTGCATTTTACAAAAGACCTCTCTAATGGAAAAATGTGTCTTATATGTGCTTACAAGAGCTCTGTTAGTTTTGCTGTTTATGGTTTTCAGTATGTGCCTTTGAAACTGCAACAGTAACTCAATAGAAGTCTAGACAAAAAGCATCCTTACAGTAATTTAGAAGCAATGTATGTTTGTTATTGTTTCTAATCACTTATGCCTCAGTATTTGATACAAATTACTTGGCATATGCAGTCCAGTGTTCACGCACAGCAGCAACAGATCCAAGTGCTCTCTGATTGAGGAACAAATTATTAAGTTTTAACTCACAGTTTTAATGGATAATAATCAAAGAAAGAAACTATGTACACAGAAGAGTTTGTTCTCTTTCCTTCTTTTTCAATAAATGGAAATGTGAGGTTGGCTTAGAAGTTGGCTATTAATACATTAAAATCCAAAGAATTTAACAGATTAGATGAATGGCTGATTTCAGTGGTATATTATTTTCTGACTGTTATACCGTATGGCTCTGAGTTACAGCTGCTTTTGCCATTTAGAATAATTTAAAATGCATTAATTTAGATTACATAGTTACATAATCTCCATTTGAAGGTTTGCCTGATTCCTCACATGTTATTTTCTGGTGTTCAAGTATGTCAATCCTGTAATATTAAATAAATTCCTAAACTTTTAGAGACCAGCAGAATTTTTTTTATTATTATTTGGATTTCTTTGAAAAAAAAAGAAAAGGGAAACTGAAGAAATTGCAAAACCTGAGTGTAGGCTAAGGACTTGAATTATTGTTTGGAAGCTTATTTTCTGGAAGTCTCATGAAAAACTCAAAGGGTAGCTACTGGCAACTCTGAAAGCATTTGAGATTTTGATAGCAGTTTCAGTGCAGAAGGGATTTCAGTTGTTGTTTTATATTTTAAATGGAGAATGTATTACAATATGCCTTTAATGAGGTAGCTTCGAGAATACATTTAAAGTATCTTCCTATAAATAACTTCTCTGACATCTTTAGACTGCACTGCAGGTAATTTTTACAAACAAATTTCCAAGCCAACTTCTTAAATCTATGTAGCACTGCTGATTCCAGCTAGATTTCATAGGGTAGTAAATTAGCATAAGCAGAGTTATCTTTCTATTTTTTTTTTTTTGGTGGGGGGTGGGTTTGGGTTTTTTTAAGTCAGAAAGCTGTGTATTTCAATACTGTGAAGTACCAAGGACAGAGCTGTCGAAAAAAGATAGTTTATTCTTCCAAACAAGGGAATGTTCAGTAGATTAAACACAAACTAATTTAGTTTGTTTTGACTTTCAGTCTTTGTTGCCCTATGATTGTTACCTTAAGCTCATGGGGTTATTTGTATTGTCTCAAGTTGCTTCTAATTCATGTCTAAAGTAAAATTGCTTAATGGGTGAAAGAGAGTTTTGCATACATTATTTCACTTGTATTTAGTTCTGGCTGTGCTTAGAGTATTCTTTTGTCATCCATATTAATATTTTACATTACCTTGAGTTTCTCAGCTGATTATAAGGATGTCCTCAATCTGACATAAATATTGAATATTCCTTTAAAATTTTACTAATTACTTGAAACGTTGTATTTTTTGAGTATACAATGCCCTATAAAGGATTGCAAGCCATCCCCTTGCTTCTCTTCTGAAATATCTCATTTTGCCTTTAGTGATACAGGGCTGTGTATACAAGTTTATTATTGAAATAATTTAATTTCTTTGAATAAGGTTGTATTATGAATTTTCATAAACTTTACACAGGAAAACTTAGGGTATTATATTCATAAATGTGGATGGTTTTAGGTTTCTGTTACATAAAGTCTCCAATAGTGGCTGAAATTTTTATCCTGTAAAGTCTAGGATTGCAGAAGTGGTTTACATGCAAACTTTAACTCTGCATCCTTGGGTAAAGATCAATATGAGCAAAGTTCTTCCTCGTCTATTGTTGTTAGCCTATTTAACAACTGAAAATGTGTTCCCTGCCTTTAAAGGTTTCTGGTGTAAAAATCTGCTTATCGGATACAAAAAGCACTAAAAGCAGGCTGACCTACAAACCTGTGTTGAACTGTTGTTGAACCTGCCCCGGACAAAATTCCTGCAGCAACTATGAAGTAGAAAACAAGTCAAGGTTATAGTTCCTCTTCCTTGATAGCCCAGAAGTTTTTATCATTCAGGATATCGAGTTAAAAAGCAAAGAGGATGTGTCATTTGGTATCTGTCCAAGTACTTGGTTATTGTTTTTCTCAGCTGTGAATGCAAACTTGTTACAAACCTGTCTGGAATTAATCTCTGCTTTGCCAGCCAGCTCTTTCTCTGTCAAAGACAGAGGCTAAAATTTGTATTCTGTTATAACCATACCTTGATAAAATGTTGCTGTGTTGCGAGTGACTGGTGGTGTCCTGCAGTGCAGAACTCTACTCTGGGACACTTTGTAGGGCCTATATGAAGTACAGGTATTTTTCAAAGTAATACTGAGAGGTGAAAGGCATTCAGTGACCTAGCTATTCAATTACATATCTCAGTATTTGAAATTGTGGTCATTTGTAGTCCTTACATAAACTTTCACCATTTTATAAAATTAGGAAAATAATTGTTTGAGTCTGCCATTCAATTTCAAAGAAGGCCCCTCTTGTAAGAGGTTCTGTCCAGCTCTCTGTCTATGTTGACTACTGTGGCACATGAGGGGGAATAGAAATCTGGTTTGAGGACTGCAGACATGGCACAGCCCTGCCCATTGTCCAGAGGAGTGACAAGAACAGGAGCAGTGCTATTCCTTATCCCCACGCCAGTCCTCCCTCTGTCAAGGAAACAGGAGTTGTGACAGTGGATCTGGTGCTGCATGTGTAGTCAAACTGCACCAGTAACAGAAAAAAGGACGATATTTGCTGACCAATTTGCTTACGTTTGGGAAGCTCTTCTCTAGATCTAGGAGAATGTGGCAGTTTTTTATTGTGCTATCTGAAAGACTAGAGATTGTTTTGGGGGTGATGGTTTTGTTTTGATTTTTTTTTTTTTTAAACTAATGGGACTATAGATTACTATGCTTAGTGAGTTCCACAAAGGGAATGGTCGTTCTCTGTATGTTTGGGTTCTTATTGAATAAAAAAAGTAGGATTTATGGC